GTCACAAGAACCTTAACTAACCTGCCAAATAAATAATAGCTGCTCAGTCTCAGGGTTTAGTTAAGAACTGCTGGTTTACTGTAAGGCGTGTGTTTTTGCCTTTGCTGCGGTCTCATAGCAGTGCACTTAAATCTCAAGGACTAAAAGGTTTGTTTCGCCGTCTGCTGCGCTGTGGCTGGAAAATCTTTCAAATGGATCATTTAATTCGATTGCTTTGAAAGTCAAAACTAGGGGAAATTTGAACTACAGCTCTTTTCAGTGAGACAGATCAATTGGTTCAGCTCACAGTTGTTAGTAGCATTGGCAGCTTTCGCCAAGTGTCTGTCTAGATTCTAATTAACAAAAAATTGCATCATATTATAAAATGCTATTTCAATAAAAGCATAAGTCTCAAGACTTTAATATAAGAAATGTCTGTTTATCAAACAGGGCAGGTCAAACTTATAAGAACTGCTGAGACAAATACATACTTTGTGTTGATTACATAAAAAAAGGCAACACAGTTGAAACTGCAAGAAAAGAACATAATGAATACTGAATGACTGAAAATGATAGTTCCTAATGTCGTTCAGGTGATCTTTAAGGGCTTGGACAATGCAGGAAACATCTGATTAATGATTTGAACATCTCTGACTGATGGGAGGAATAAAGAAAAAAGAGGGAATAAAACGTTCATTTCAAATGAGGAGCACCATTCCTCCTTGGCAGCAAGCTTACCATAGAAACCTGGTCTTAGGCACGTAAGAAAATGGTTTAAAAACATGTATCTGCAAAATAACTCAAGTTTTTTTTTGCTTTTAAAAACATTGTCATATTAGAATAAATGCAAACCAAAAAGAATCTATGAATGTGGTACACAGCAACAAGAATTTCTTGGTTTCAAATGAGTTACTGTGCTAGTGAAAACAGAGCTTTGGTTCCAGATTTCTCCTCAGGCATAGATTTGTTAAATTCCATCACCAGCTCACCTGATTTTGATTAAATGAAGCATTGATTAACCAATCTAGGTACTTGATGATGGCTACAAACAATACTGGACTTCCTCAAGGAGAGGTTTGGAAATGGTTAAATGAACACACTGATAATAGTAGTGCTTTTCTGAGCAACTAAACTTTATTTATTCAAATAAACATATGTACAACACATTTATTTCCCTGATAAACAGCTTTTGTAATTATAATATTCTCAGGTGTTTGAAAACATTTTGCACAGTACTGTATGTGTACATATAAGTTTTAATACTGTAGTGCTGAGAATTCTACATGAAGACGCTGCGACGTCGCATCAGAAAGAAGGAAGCCGTGCATTCTGACACATAGGTGCCAGCAGACAGTGTGAGATCGCTTGCTCTTCAAAATAGCAAGTGATTTCAAGCAACATGACAAAGCTCTGATTAATGAAAGCCTGAAGGCATACGCTAACTCACACTCCCTTAACACTTGCACCCACATACTAATGGTGGATGAATAGTCTTTTCCAATGATGAAGCTGCAGGAGCACACAGCTGCTTAATACATAATGCATGAACTGTAATAGAGGGTTCTGATAGTGGAAGCCAATCCATGATACTATGGGAAAAGAGCATGTCAGGGCAGGAAATGAAGGTAGTGCTGTTTGTTTTCACTGGGCAAGCAATAGCATTGGTTCATAGGAGGAGGATTTACAAGGCCCTGAGCTAAAGGCTTAGGTACCCACTGGATTTATGAGCATACTGTTCCCAGTTATTGGAGCTTGAGTCCATTTTAACGGGTTTCTAGAGTTTGCTTTGGTGCAAATCAGGGCTTTCTGTGCACTGTTTCTTTACAGACACAAACAGGCTATAATCCGATAATTCCTAATGGTATACAGTTCTTGCGTCACAGATTCCATTAAGTTACAGTTCTTACTGAGAGCTAACAACCTTTATTACCACTCATTCTATATTGCGTCAGTTGGGAAGAAGGAGGCCCTCTGGCTAGGCCGGTGTTGTCAGTTCTACATTTTCCAAGCATTTCTTGTCCATCTAAACAGTGTAAAGAGAATTAATTCTAACCCCTAACGTAGAAGATGGGGACTTTGCATGTCCTTGCTCTGCAGCTTTTATAGCTGACCTTTCAACGGCCAGGACTGTTTTATTATGGCTCTAGTATTCTTATGAAGTGTGAACTGTGATTGTCTTGAGCAGTATCACGTTCACAGTCAGTAATGTTAAAGATATAGTTTTGCTTGTGTCATTTCTGATAATGTATGGGAGGCGCAGATGGACCTCGGGCAGGGCTTGTGCCCCTGCTCTATTGCCCTGAGACTGTACAAGTGCCCTCTTGGTCAGTGTACAGAATAATTGTTTTTTTTATATGGCCATCCATCAAGATCCAGTAAAGCAAGGTTCAGCTCAGCCTCGCCCAAGCAATAGAGCTAGTGGATCAACTTGAGCACTCTTGGGTGCCTGCTCTGGTAGTACCAGCCATCCATTGGGATTTCACCTCAGTGAGCTCCAACCCATCATGGGTGCACAAATCACCACATCAGAAATCCTACTGATCAAATAATGTATTTCAGGAATACATCACATCCCGTAATACCTTAAATTTGTTTTTTTCCCCAGATGAAAAGTACGTATTTGTACCTTTTCATAACCTGATGTTTTAAAACAACAACAACAAAAAGCCTGGAGACGCGACGAGGTGTGTGGAGTCAGTACGACTTAGAAAATATAATTTCAATGGATTATGGTACAAATATGTTCCCTGACTATAGGTACTGAGATGTACCCTTAAGGGGACCACCCCAGTGACAGTTTTGTACCTTTTTCCTGAGAGTGTAGTGAACAGTGTGTCCTACAGTCAGAAACTATATAAGCAAGTCTAGTTGAGATTACTTAACAAACATGGTTTAAGGCAAGCTCGAATAGGAACGTGCAAATTGGTGGAGTATAAGCTTACATTTTACTAGTAGTTCCAGGGCAAAAACTAGATGAGCAACTTTGCCCATCCAACAAGGTTTAGGCTAATCAGTACATTTGGGGGATAACAGGAAAATCATGATTTTATTTAATTTTCCTAAAAGCAGCTAGTACATATAAAAAGTGTGATCTGTGGAAATGCCTATGATTTGTCAGGCTGACTGGAAAAGCCTGTGTTTTGTTGTAATGTTCCCTTCCACTACACTCAGTGAGAACAGCTGTGTTTGGCGAGAGCACATTTAATTGTCACAAGGATACTACTAAAACAGAATATAGGAATTAGGGCTGTTTGTGATTAACTAAATTGCATAGGCCAAAATCACAGTTTTACTCAACATACAGCTTAACAGTTTAGCCTCTGGATGAGAACTTTAATGTATGCTGAAATCCCTTCTTGTTCTGTGTTTTTCTGCTCTGTGAAGGAGGTAGTTTTCTCTTCGGGTGGTCCTGATAAGTAGGCAGCATTTGAGCCATCTCTGCAATAGCCACCCTCAGGCCAGGCCTTGGCTCAGGACTGCTAATAGCGGGTGATCTCAGCAGCTTGCTGTAAACAGTTGGTGTGTTTATTTGAAAGATTGAGTCAGTTTAAGACTAATAATACATCCTACGCTTTCCTGAAGCTCTACTTCTGGAAATACTACGAAAACGCACATTTCCAAGAAAAACGGGGGCTCAAACTCAACATCCTAAGCCTAAAGCACTCTTTGTACACAGTGGCCTCATTCTGCATTCCCAAGGTTGGATTTAATGGACTGCTTGACCTCTTCAAATGTTTGCTGTATTGTATAATTAATGCGCGCAATCACTCCACAAACATTTCACGCCAGCCTGTGCCCTCTAATACCCTCTATTGAAAAAGACCAGTCAGTATAGAGAAGGCAAAAGTTCAGAATGTGGGTTATAGACAGAAAACTTCAGTCCCAGAGCAGATGTTCCTCAGCAGGTGAAGACCACAGCGTGACCAACTGCAGACCGCACAGCTAGAGCTGCCCGTCTACAAAAAGAGCAGACCATGCTTTGTTTACAAATGGGCTGACTTAAAATGGAAAAATCAGCGGGGGGTGTATATCTCTGTAGTTTTTGATGATTCAGGGTGTGTTGTTTTTGTTCAGACTGGACGGAGGGAGGAGCTGAAGTATTTTGAAAACAAACAGTTTGTAGTCCGACTGTTTCACATGAGCGTTATTCACAAGATATTCACAGAGCCTTGTTTAGTCATGCTAGGCCTGCCCGATCTGAGCCATCCCATTCACCGAGAGAGGGACAGGATGCACAGAGAGAGAGAGACAGAGACAGACAGACAGAGAGAGAGAGAGAGAGAGAGAAAGAGAGAGAGACAGACAGACGGACAGAGAGAGAGAGGGGGAGAGAGAGAGAGAGATTTTTACATGCATCTGTAATATATGTAAAAAGCTTACATTTATAAATCTGAGAGATCACAGTGAGTGAGGAAGTGAAATTGTGAAATATTACTGTGTCTTGCTAAATATGGATTCATATTGTGCAAAAGGGCATATTTTGTGCTTAGTTTTAATTTTTTTTTATTTTTTTTTATCAGTAATTTGGCTTAAAGGCTGTCAGTGACAGTATTTACACATATAAGCCCATAGTCATTTTGCTACTACACTGTTTAAATGTACCGAGAAATACATAATTAATTACATAGTAATAGAATCAACTACATTTACATCTGAAGTACGTTCTGTATTGACTGGTTCAGTATGTCAAACCATAACACAAACCTAGTTAAAATGAAAAGGATTGTTTTCCTTTCTGTTAAATTCCTGACAATAACTTAATAAAATGTCTCCTCTACTAAGGAACACACAGTATGTGATTCAAAGGTTAAAATCCACACTTTTGACTGAATTTCTCTGCTTATTTCAATGAAATACGGGTCAGAAATAATATAGAAGTTATGACTTGTAGGGGTTAAGGGTTGCTTGTGAGACCATCAGCAACAAAATTGTGAACTCAAAACATTCTTTTTTTTTTTCTTTCTCTTTCTTCTTTCTGTTTTCTCCCCACCACCTTTTCTTTTCCTGCTTCTGCTGGGCAGGTGAGTCAGGGAAATGTGCCTGGCATCGAGAGTGCTTCGCTGGCTATGGACACAGAGGAGGGGGTGGAGGTGGTGTGGAATGAGGTTCAGTTCTCTGACAAGAAGGTGTTCAAGGCCCATGAGGTAACAACGGTCACTCTCTCACTCATCACTCTGAAACACTGAATAGAGAGCTATGTGGGGAACAACAAAAACATGAATTTTTATTTATACTCTGTTTCTTTTTAGTATTTTTTATTATATTTTATTATTATATTTTACTAATTTAGTTGTGCTCAGTTCCACCCACTAGCAGGGGCTCACCAAATCACACGATGGAGGGCTATTCTTCCCACCCAGAGAGAGCAAGACCAATTATGCTCTCCTGAAATCCAAAAATCAAACTCATGATGTCCTGACAAAAGGGCTAACACTTAGACTTGTGTGCCACTTCCAGCATTTTTTCATTTTTACCCTGTTGTCAAAGCCCTCACTGCACTCATTGGTGCATGTATTGTTTGTCTTCTGCGGTCACGTAGGATGATATTAGTCAGTGAGAATGTGTCAGAAAACTGTAGGCAATGACAATAAAAAAAGAGATGACTGATGTTTTTTGTGTGTGTGTGTGTGTGTGTGTGTGTGTTTATGTGTGTAGGACAGAATCAGGGAAATGTTTGAGAACCTGATGCAGGTGGAGCACCCGAACATTGTCAAGTTTCACAAATACTGGCTGGACACAAAGGAGAGCCGAGCCAGGGTATAAAAACAGAAATGTGCAAAAAAAGCACAATTTTATAACAATGCCCTAAAATGAATCAAAGAAATGGGAAAAAAAACTAATTTAAACAAAAGCATTTAACATCACTGTCTTCCTGTCACAGGTTATTTTTATCACTGAGTACATGTCGTCTGGAAGTCTTAAGCAGTTTTTGAAGAAAACCAAGAAAAACCACAAGACAATGAATGTGAAGGTAGGACGTTTTTAGGAATCGTCCTAGTTTCTCTGATTCGAAATGACTTTACATGCAGTACACCACCACCCTGTGGTAAAAGAACAACAGCACTGCTGCATCTACACATCCTGTCTGCACAATCATCCATCCATTTCTCACAATGTCTGTGTGTTTTGGTGTCTGTGTGTGTTTGTGTGTGTCCCTTTCTTTTTGTGTGTGTGTGTGTGTGTGTGTGTGTGTGTGTGTGTGTCTAGGCATGGAAGCGCTGGTGCACACAGATCTTGTCTGCCCTCAGGTAAGACCCCATCTCAGTCATACAGTTTCAGGGTTGTAAGAAAACCTTAATTGAATTTTTTAATTTAAGGTTTTCTCATGACAATAGCAAAATAGTGACATTTTATATTTTCAATGTGTTAAGCTCATTTAAATAAATATAATTGAGCACTAAAATTTGCTGAAAATGCCATATTTGTGTTTTCTGTAGAGGATGTCTTAACTTATTTACACACAGAAAATCAGCAAAACATAATTTGAGGGAGGTATTCAAACTTTTGCATAATACTGCATATGATGTCACACAGTCTGCCCTAGAATTATCTCACAGTTTGCAGCAGCCGTTATTCTTGGAGTAACCATGGTTTCATTTCACCCAATCATGGCTTGGCCTTTTAGCATATACATTAATGCTGCGTTTACATGTTGCCACTGAGAAACAAAATCCTGTGCCTCATAGCAGAGACTGACTTCAACAATGAAATGTCCAGCGTTCATGGCTCATGAAGCAAAAAAGGCAACATGTGATTTATTCCACCACAATGGAATATCCAGTTTTCGTCACCCGTCTACCGTCACAATGTAAACGTAGCATAATTGCTTTGTTTCTGCTGTTCAGCTGAAGACAGTACTGTGACTCTGTCAGTTCTACACATCATATTTTGCTCTTTCTGAACCCCAGTTACCTGCATTCTTGTGATCCGCCCATAATCCATGGAAACCTGACCTGCGACACCATCTTCATCCAGCACAACGGCCTCATCAAGATCGGCTCAGGTGCAGCACAGCTTTCTTCATTGTGTCTTTATTACAGAGTTCAGTATAAGATGTGTGCCGATTCTTGCTTCAAGTGTGTAAAGTTAATTGGTTTTTCCAGCCCTTATGCTATTACAATTTATCTTTCTTTCTGTCTTCCTCCACAGTGTGGCACAGGCTTTTCGTCAATGGTAAGTCTCAGTAGTCAACAGTAGCGATCATCTGCTTTTCTCCTATATGACAATGCAGTCATGATGTATAATACTGCGTTTTCCAACTTGGATTAAAAAAATAGTTCGGGAAAGTCAAATTTACAGTTTTTCCTTTAGCCTTAGTGCAGTTTATCAGCCAAGACATATTTGGTGTCTAAAGCTGGTGCTTTTCTAGAGCTGCAGGGTTCATGTAGCTAATACAGAATGGCTTATATCCAATTGCCATTGTACAAACTGCGTACCTAAATCATCACACCCTTACTTCAGACAAGTTATTTAGAGTTGTTTTAATGTCAAATGGTTCATTATAGAGAAACTTGCTTACTTTGATTTCTTTACAGTGGTGGTCATAGGAACCAGTGGTCTGCAATGGAAAAATAGCATTATTTATTATCCAAAACCTCCAGTGAACCTACACATCTTTGAGCTACATATGCGATGTTGATGATGGTTAAATAGTGGAAAATGTTAAAAATGCATGAACGCTTACTTTGGGGTCTGTTTTGCTTGTTAACACCGTGCCTGTACCTCTCTCTCCTCCATGAATGGATTTTAAAAATAACTTTTAGGTCAAAACCTAATCACGGAACAGTGTATTCATAATCAAAACACTGTATTCATTTGTTTCATGTAATATCTTTTTGTGATGTAGGCATGAAAGTCTTCTGATGCCTGGTTCTGATCACCACCACTGTGAATGATTCTGGCTCGTTCACAGTTTCTCTAGAATGTAGCATTTCACATCAAAACGTTCTAAATGACTTTGTGCAGAAATTTTAGAAAAATCAGTGGAATTCCCCTTTAAGATATTTTGTGTCTGTATCTGAGCGTCTGTCCTTCCACCCGTCCATGAAGCTTATTTTGTCTATATTTATCTAGAACTACAGCTGTTAGGTTTATTGTGAGTGCACTGCTGCTATTTCCTTCTTGGGTTTCATAGTTAAGCAGAAGGAAGAGAAACAATCAGTGTTACTACATCTGTCCCCCAGAGTGCTGCTTTTGAATGTGGCCTAGTGTTCCCAGAGTTTTTTCAGATGTATTTATTGCTGTGGTTCGGACAGACCCCCTACTTACAAATACATACAAATAAACTAAGCAGTACAAACAAGTAGTCCTACGCTCTGTGTTTGTTGTTAAGCTGTTGGTCTATGCTGTTTTCAGTGTTCCCAGAGGCCATTCATGGGAATGTGCACCAGCATCGCGACGAGCTGCGGAATCAGCACTTTTTTGCTCCAGAGTATGGCCGTAAGTGCCTGCCCAATTCTGATTGTCTGTCCATGGGTCAGTGGCAAGTAAGGTTTTCAAAAATGACAATTTTTAAAAATCTTATTAACAAGGACATTATGTGCATTTTTATATCTGCTTATATATTTACATTTCATCTATGAGCATTTTATATCTCAAATATAGTAAGCATTATCAGAGCTTTTAATTGCCTATTTCAGGTATTAAACCTGTTCTGGTCTGGTTGCATCATTTTACATTTACTGGTTATGCCACCTGACTTTTCAGACTAACTTCAAATTATACAGGCATCTACTTAGACACCTGTGGCAACATTTGTTCTTGAACTTGAGTTTAGACTTACATTTTTCAAATTAATAAACGTTGTTATAATAATTACTCTTTTTCATGGTTTTCCTGATACAATATCCTGATAACAGTTTTTTTTTCAGTAAGTTGAATACTTTTTGCAACATGGTTTGCCTTAAGTTGCCTTATTTTGCAACATGGTTTTTATTTTAAAGTGTTCAAACATTATGCTGATCTATTTTATTTAGAATTTTAGTTTACTTAATTAACATATATGGTCGAATGGTTGCACCACCTGACATTTTTAGACTTTTGGAGGCAAAAAGAAACCAAAATTAATTATATATGGATGCACTGAAAATTGTTCCACATAAGAGGTTTTGTTAATTAATTTGGTGTATGTCATGTATTTATTAAATTATTTTTTGGGAAAATAATGAACTTGGAAACAAAAAATGCACGTCATGTCACTGACCCCCATCTGTTTGTTTGTTTTTGTCTCCTGATGCTCATGCTCTCTTTCACAGTTTCTTTAGCTCTGACAAAAAGTGTTTTGTGTTCTATAACTACTGAAAATGCACACAAAATGTACAGCATATAGTAATATAATGTGTCATAAAGACAATAAAATAACGTCATATTGCCCAGCCTTAGTTCCAGCCTTTCACCTCTCCTGTTTTGCCTCTCTCCCCAGTTGCCGAGGATGACTACTCTATCGATATATATTCCTTTGGCATCTGTGCCTTGGAGGTACAACACTGAACACTGACCATCAACTACATGCATAACAAGCACAGTCTCTTTCTGAGACACCTCAAAAAAAAAAAACCCCCCCCCCAAAAAAAAACAAAGGACCAAAAACCCCCACAAAAAAAAAAAAAAAAAAGAAAAAAAAAAAAAAAAAAAAACAAAACCCACAAAAAACCCCACCCAAAAAAAAAAAAAAAAAAAAAAAAAAAAAAAAAAAAAAAAAAAAAAAAAAAAAAAAAAAAACCCCCCAAACCCCACCAAAAAAAAAAAAAAAAAAAAAAAAAAAAAAAACCAAAAACCACCACACCACCCACACCCACACCCCACACACACACCAAAAAAAAAAAAAAAAAAAAAAAAAAAAAAAAAAAAAAAAAAACCACACACCAAAAAAAAAAAAAAAAAAAAAAAAAAAGAAAAAAAAAAAAAAAAAAAACCACCAAAAAAACACAAAAAAAAAAAAAAAAAAAAAAAAAAAAAAAAAAAAAATAAAAAAAAAAAAAAAAAAAAAAAAAAAAAAAAAAAAAAAAAAAACAAAAAAAAAATAGTAAAGATGTATTTTTTTTTTTTTTTATTATAAATAGTGGAGTATGGTTAGGAATGGGAATGAAGTTTAAGGGAATAAATGATGGAGTAGATGGGGAAATATATGGGGTATTTAGTATATTTTTTAAATATTATAGTTGTGTATTTAAGGTTTGTATAGAAGAGTAGGAGTAGTTTATGGGTATGGTGATTAAGAATTATAATATATTGATATTATATTTATATTTGTGGATAAGTGATGAGAAAAAGGTATGAAATAATTAAGTTATTTTATTTAAGTTTAGATTATATTTTGTATTTATGTTTTTATGGGAGATTAGGTATAAGAGGTATAGTATAAGATTGCACAAGGAGGGGAAAATATTCAAGTGAAAAAATTATTCAAGCGGTCACGTAAACAGCATTTCTCATATTAAGGTTGTTATCATAGTTCTAGAAAGCCGATTAAGAGGTGGATTTTAGCTCTATAATCAGCGCATGAGAACTCTTACTCTGATTTCTTTTGTTGTTCTCTGTCAGCGTATGTGTGAAAACAGAGCGCTGCCCTGGAAACAGAGCTTGACACAGCATCCGCAAGATGGCAACAAAACACTTCTGGAGCGATGCTGATATTTGATGCTAGATGATATTTTCCTCTATAGTGACTCATTATTTAAAAGAAAAAAGTGACTATTGCCTGAAGATCTGGAGTTTTCCCATTATCTGATTACCCCAAGTGCCTGTAAACTCATTCTGGTTTTCTGCAGTTATCAGATTATTAAGTGCATGCAAACACACTCACTCTGAGAAGACAACTCAACACTGTGGATTTGAAAGGATGTGTAGCTGTTGAGAAGCCATTACTGAGAAAAGGAAATAGACGATAGACAGAACAATGGACTGACGACCCCAGAGTCCAGACCTCAACATCACTGAATGTGTTTGGGATTATTTAGATTGTGAGAGGCAGAAAATGCAACCAAATTCTAAGACTAAACTTTGACGGTGTGAAACATATTCACACTATCTCTGATTTTTTTCGAAAAACTCAAAGCAAGTCTCCTGAAAAGAATGGAAGTTGTAATAAAGGCAAATGATGGACACACTAAATACTGAAAATTAGATATTATGTTTAGTTGTTGAGGCTTCTGTGTAATTTTCAGGTAATTACAAGTTTACTGCATTTATTTGCTAAAAAATGAAAACCTTGTATTAATGGCTGGTCTCTGACTTTTGCACAGTACTGCACGTCAATAACTGCAAGCAATGTAGATTAGAGTGTAGATCAAGACCTTGAAACCAGTTTCCAGTCCTGGATTTTGCGGTCACTGGTAGGTATGTCACTAGGTGGCCAGTCAGTTGCATCATTAGGTCAGTTGACTACCAGTGATGATAAAGTACAGGACTGGAAACTGGATTCAGGGTCTGGATTTGTGGGCCTCTTGTTTAGGCCTGCAGTTGTTAACCTAACTGTTCATATATATATCTGCTTTGATGCATATATGTTTGATATATACATCTTACAAAGCTTCAGATGAAATGTTACCAAGTGCTCAATAGTAGACAATGAGCTAAACCTTTACTCTTTTGTCCCTGTGGATGTACCCAGGAGTTTACTCAGTTATGTGTGCGCACAGACGCTAAGCTGAGGCCTACAGCTCATGACCTGCTATTTCACAGAGTGCTGTTTGAGGTCCACTCCTTAAAACTGCTTGCTGCCCACTGCTTCATCAGTAACCAGTGTAAGTAGATGCCCATAGTTGGAACTGTTAATACATGGACATGGTTATTTTTCTTTGAGCTTCCAGTTTCAAGCTACTGTCAAGACCTTCTTATCTAGGTTTTACACTTCATATTCTATAGTTGCTGATGCAAGATCAAGCCCACGTTATCAGTAACGTAGCTAACTAGTCAGCAATTTAGTTGTCATTGACCTACAATAGACATCCCGTCTTGTCTACACAGGAGATCATCTGTACTGTTGTTTTTGAATAAAAATAATTAATATTTTGACCTGGCCCGCCCAAGCAACAATCGCTGAAGAAAGATGGGACACCAGAATGCAGGATGGACCTGCAAACTGACACTATTCATCAGTTAAGCACTGTTTAACTCAGGGGTGCTCTTTTCTGGTTCTGGAGTTCTACCAACCTGGAGAGTACAGATACAACACACCTGGCTCTAATTGTCAGATGCTCCTGAAGGCCTTCCAGCTCCTAATCAGAGTAGCCTTCAGCAACATGAGTTTAATGCAAAAGAACTAACTGGTTATAATTCCCCAATGAAACAGATCTCCTTCCAGAGAACTGTGTGGAGGAGAAGACCAAGTCTATTGATCCAAACGGTGTCATGGCAGAGATCAATCACAGTGATCGACCAGGAATCCAGCTAAAGTAAGTTCTTAATGTGTTTATGACATCTTTCTCTCCATCATATGTGACATCTCTCTCCTCACTGCCTTCTCTCTTTGGTCTTAAGGTACTCGCATGTCTCTCCACTGGAGTTGGACAAGTTCCTGGAGGATGTTAAGTAAGTGTGACGGTGACAGGAGCTGACCAAGAACTCAATATTTCGTATTTGTTTTTACACCATATTTATATTTCTGTGAGTATATTAAAAGAAGTAGGAACCCATTAGCCATTCTGTTTGTCCAGGAATGGAATCTATCCCCTGATGAACTTCGCCTCGCAGAGGCCGCATCCTATTCCACGTGCACTATCCCTGTCCCAGGAGCACATGGAGACGGTGAAGACTCCAACCCCAGAGCCACAGGAGACTGAGACCAGGAAAGTAAGTAGAATAGAGAAACGGATGAGACTATAAGCAGCTTTGGTTGAGTGTACACTGTCTGTCGGGAATCATATTGGTATAGCACTGATGTTTAGATTTAACCAGTATTCCAACCTAGTCTAACTTATTTATTGTTTGCAATTTATTTATTGTATTTTATAACACCAGAATGTTTAGGCGAGGCGTCGCAACTATAGTAACACACAATTCATTTTACAGTATTTAGTAATCTTCATTAAATAAACATGATATTTCTCTGTAGTGCTAATCCAGGTATATGTAATCACAATACCTGCATTTTACAAATGCATATGTGTGAGTGTCTACATCTGCAGATATGTTCATTGACGTCAGCCCAAAGTTCCTATATCAGTACATCCGTACTTGTTGGATGAAATAATTAATTTTTTGACCTGGTCAATGCAAGCAATGGTCATTGCAGCAAGATAGGGACACCTAAATTTATAGTTGCTTAAGCAAAGTTGTATTCTTAAAAAGAAGTGTGCTGGGAAGGATGCTTTGGACTAATTAACCACTTTTGGCTCCCTAAAGAATAGTTCAATGGATGGTTCTTTAAAAACATATTTGTAAATGAGATGTATGAGTGTGAAGAAGTTAAAAGAAGCTCCAAATAACGTAAAAGGTCTGTCCCCTTTAAATTGTTTCCTATAGCTGAACATCAGAACCAAAAAAATCTTTCTTAAAAATAATTTATCAAAAATATTATATAAAAATATTAAAGCCTTTAAACTTTGGTGTTGGTGAAGAGTACCTTGGACGGCAAAGCAAGGTAAAGCAAACGAATGGATCCTCAAACAAATCAAGCCTCACCTCTCACTTGAAGCCCAGTGAACGAAACTGAAGCTCTCCTTTTCTGGACAAGTTCTAAGAATAACTAATTGGAAAGGACCATTATACTCGGACAGGTTAAAGTTAAAAGAAGAAGAGGATGAACAGCAACAAAATGGGTGGATGCAGTCCAAGGAATCATGAATCAGCCATGCAGAGGCTTGAAGACGACAGGATATTCTGGATCATTTGTTGCCAACCGTGGTCCTGGAAAGTTACCGTCCTGCAGAGCTCCAGCTAATCAACCTCTGAAAAAACAACATCCCTATGGTCAGAAACTACTTGACGGCACTTAATAGTAATAATGATAATAACACTTTGACAATGAAAGACGAAAAAGTACCTGCGAAGTTTTTGTTAACACAAAACAACTGTTTCTAATGCATATTTTGTCACAATCAGCTTCATGTTTAGCAAAGGGTCTTAGTGTGACAAGAAGATTTTGTCAGTTATTTCTTGAGTTTGCGACATGAACAATATGCTGTACACACTGTGTTCTTACTTGTTCACACAGGTTGTCCAGATGCACTGCAATCTGGAGGCTAATGAGGAGGGAACCAGGAGTCATGTGAGTTTAAATCACTTTCATCATTGCTTTAATCCAAATCCCTTAAAACACTACTGGAATGGATCGACTCAGTATACTATACCAAATAAATACTAACATATGTTTTTGTTTACAAGCCAAAAATGGTTTGTTTTTAATTACTTTTCCGTCTCTTTAGCTGTCTCTTTTTTTGAAGATGGATGACAAACTTCATCGCCAGCTTAGCTGTGATGTTCTGCCAAGTAAGTCAACCTATGGGGAATTATATTGAACTTACTCAGGATGTGTCAAAAACATTCTTGCACAATACTGATAAAATTAAAGCTGTTTTTAAGGATTAGTGTAGATGAGATGTTGGCAGTAAAATTGTATTCAGTGTACATTTTCTGCTTTTATGCTCCACAAGTAGCTGACACAACAGAAGTGGTTTTATTTTGCAATATTTACAGATAAGCTTCAGCATATCATGCAAACTGAGCAAAGCACTGGTGAGATGCAGTGTGTAAAAAACATAGTGTCAATTAATATTTTAGCCCAAAAAGAAGACATTTTGGGGCAGAACCAAAACATATGATCCAGAGTTCTGTCAAATGCCTTACATCGGTCGAATAGTTTGGAATAATAGATCTTATCTAATTCATCTTTGGAGTAATGTATAATCTATTAATGATTTTGAATTAATTGTAGTCTGGCATTAATAGCATCTTCCTTAAGCCTTCCTCCCACACCTCATCACTCCACCCATTTTCTGAGCAGTCCTCCCACGTTTCTGGCTGACCTCTCTCAAATGCATTTGTATGAGCCATAGAAACTGTCACAAAAGGCTTGGTACGTTCTGTGAAATCAAACCTGTTTGAAGTTGTTGTGTCATGCTTCTATTTGAAAATGGGGAAAAAAAATTGTGGGTTTTTTTTTTTTTCTTTTTCAGCCGACCGTCCCAGAGACCTGGCCAGTGAGCTGGTGCACCATGCGTTTATTAGCGAGGTGGGTGAGAAGTTCTTCCACAAAAGTAAATTCGGCTGAGATGTGCATGTTGCAGATGCATCATCTATTGAGACAACAGACAAATGCAATTAAGTTGTGTAGCACACTTTTATCAGTTTTCTCAAGGTGCTTTTGATTACTAAGCAGTGAATGATCACCAGGAAAAAAAAATTAATGAAATACATAGGTATAAGAAGATAGGTGTTAATAAGACGGCAATAAAATGCATTAAACAGGTTAAACACAGGGCATTTCCAATATCAAGGAAAATAGGTGGTGATTTCATTCATAATTAAAGAGGAGGAATTAAGGAAGTAAGAGGAATTCTGAAATGTTCTGCATAATTCAGTTGTTCTTCAGAGTGGTTTAATGTGAAATGGTTCATTGTGGAGATGCATAACAACTCAGAATACACAGTGGTGGTCACAGGAACTGGGCAGTCGCATGTCTACAACCCTGATATATTTATAACCCGAAATGACCTGAGAACCTTCTTTTGGGACTGTTGCCTTACAACACTCTGCATGTATTTCTCTTCTATGAATGTAGTAAATAATAATGTTTTGTCCAAAAGCTGCTCTCTAAACTATCGTAAAACAATGTCTCAGTCATCAAGCAATGTATTCTTTACAATCTCATGTAAAAAAAAAACTTTCTGTGATGTAGCTTTAAAGGCATTAAACTCATCAGATGTCTGGTTAACATCACCACCACTTTGAACAATTCTGACTCTATGTTTCTCAAAAGAGTGAGAGGAGTATTTCACATCAAACCACTATGAATAACTGTTTACATTTTAACTATTTACTTATGCAGACATTTTAAAGAATTGGTGGAATTTGCTGTAAAGTCTACAGAAGTATGATATATTTGTAAAAGCAAAACACCTTTTCTTGTCCTTTATTCTGTCACATTGTATATGTGATTGCACTGAGAAGTTAATGATGGATTGATGGTCTACAGGAAGACTGTGAGAAGCTGACATGCTTTTTGGAAGATGCCCTGGGGAAGCACTGGGGTGGAGCTTCTGCTTCTTCTGCTGCCATGGTGATGATGCATTGAGCCCCATCGGAATGCTATTGTGGAGCAGATGAATTGGCCTGAGCTGGTCTAACTGAGGAAGAGTGCGAAACACGGAGAGAAAAGAAGGAGCTGAAGAGGGACAGAAAGAGCAACTTATTGGCAGAGGGGTGAAAATGTCTTGGCAAATGTGGCAAAGTTGGAAATATCCATCCAAACACCATGGTACCAAGGCTCCAAAGAGCTTATGTTGTATGTCGTTTTTGTGGGAGATCTGGCCAGTACCATCATCCCACAAAACAGCAGACACGTGATTCAGTTAGAGGTGGAGATCCCTCCATTTATTCTTCATGTTTGATGGATTTTTGTGGACATTCTCAGTGCCGTCCTACCTTTTGGCAATATCCATCCTCCATCCAAGAAGCTTCTGTGCCACATAAAGAGTCTTATAGGAGCAAAAACCTTGGAAAAACTGAAAAAGGAGGGTAGTGGTCCAAAATAGTTGCTTCTCATGGGACTGCCAGCCCATGTGTTGTCTTAAATTGTCTATGTATTTTAAGCAGACCTGCAGTAAATGTATATTTATTGTTTTTAACTATTAAACATTACTAAAGTGTAACTCTTTAATGGCTCCCAATGAGAGAAATCTTTCCAAATGTTTAACATTTCTACGTAAAATGAATGAAAATTATAGAATTAGCAATCTCATTATGTTCAAAATTGACAATGAGCTGAAGAATGTACAGTACTGTAGCAGAGTACCCTTGGCGCTTGTTATACCTACATTACTACTCCCCATGTGAAACCTTAAACCGAAAACACTTGCCATCTGTTCTGACTGGTTCTTACAAAGCACCAAGTGCCTACGTGAGAAATGAATGTGTCAAACGTACTCAGTATGGTATCCTCCTGTATATCGCCATTATTCAAGATGCTTGAGTCATACAAACTTGTGGTTCATTTTGCATACATTTGTAAACAGTGGCAATAATGGTAATACCTTAGATTTGTCGGGTCTAAGGAGTGTGATTATTATATGTGTGAATGTACCTCTGTGAGAGAGAGAGTGGTGTTTTGCAGTAAAGTGTAATAGCATTAGGAGCACCAGCCTCTTTTAGGTAACCAATGAAGCTGTACAGCAAATGAACGCTTCAAATGCAGTCAAAGCATTTTGAGCAAGTAGCGGCTACCGCACACTACCAAACATGATCAAAATTGCACCTTTTGAAGACACACTTTGTCTTCCAGCCCATGGTGCACCAAACTTATCTGCACTTTATAATCGCAAATGCACCCTCTCAACTGATTGACAGAAATGACACAAGATGTGAATCAACTAAACACTGATACTAAAACAGTGTGTTTACATTTGTGGTATGTATCAGCAGAACATGGTAGTGTTGCATTTTAATTTGGGTTTGATTAGCATTCACACTAATTTATGCAACACTTGGTTTTGCTCCCATTTTGCAGCATTTTGATTAAAAAAATCCAGGATCTTTTTCCTAGAAATGTGTCGCACTGCTACAGACAAGTGTTGGTCACATCAAATACAAAAGCGGGGATTCTGTTTCTTGACCCACACTGTTTTGAAGGATTTCAATAAAATCTTTTGTGATATGAAAACAGCACTCTTTCTTGATATAAAAACCATTAACCTTCAGCTCTAATGCTAAGCAAACCCAAACTAAAATGCAGCAATGTATTATTTTCTGCTTTGGCCTGGCCAATGGAAACCAAATTACGAATGTAAATGCACCCTGAGACATTGGATGATTAGGTCCTTTATGTAAGGGTCTAATTGGAACCCCTCCATCTAGTTAAAAAGGGCTGTTCTTTGAGCTTTTACATCATTCAGCAGTATTTGAAGTCTTTTATGTTCCATCCAGGGGTGTTTACATGCACATAACATATAGAAACTGAACTGTGTCAATGCCAAAAGAGCTTCTCTCTTTATCCTCAAAGACACTCGATGCAATGATGGCAGCTGGGGTTGGGGTAGCTACATGGAAGAGAAGATGCTACATTGCCTCTAGAAAAAACCCTGCCCTGACCCTTGGTTTGGTACTTTTATCTTGTGTTTGTAAATCAGTATTCATTCTGTAATTAATCTGTCATGCCGTTCATGCCGACACTACCCCAGTTTAAAGGCCCAATTGGGAATTCAACTGGCAGACCAGTTTTAGTACTCCAACAGTTCAAAAGTACATATGCTCTTGGTTTGAAACAAGGGTGTTAAACTGTGGCTGGTCATAGCTATGCTTCAGCAAATCCGGATTGGGGCTTTTAAGATGTTTCAATACTAATGCTGTAATTATCAGTGGCTTTGGCTCTTGAACACTTCCAGTATCTCAATAAAACTGTGCTTGCATGTGAGAACCTGAATGTTATTGCTCTGTTTTTTGATGAGGAGGCATGTTGGAAATGCTATATGTGATCAAATCTCCAATCATTTTCCTGAAGAAGAAATTATGACCAGTGGGCGTTCTTGCCAGTGATGTAACGGCTTGTTCTGTGGCGTCTTCATGTCTTAGACATTGTGCACAGCATAGTTATAGATGCAGGAAAAAATTTTGTTCTTCCAAATGCTTGCACACTTATGGTTGGCATCCTTCCTTGACTCAGTTAGTTAAACTGCACGTCTTGTTTGACTTTGCATTGAAATGTTGTACATGAAGTAACATAAATTAACATATTTGACAATTTCAGAATCATGAAAAAACCTGTGAAGCTTTCACTGTATCATTGTATGTAAGTGATTGTAGGGTAAGACATGCCATTGTGGGAACGTTTAGCATTAATGAAACACTGGACAGAAGAAGGATTTCCTTTTTTGCTTTTTAATCAAGAACCCCTTAACAGTTAGCTCCAGAATCTACAGAAACATATTTGCCTCTGCCTTAGGTTTGTCTCCTGGTGCAAACAAGTATACCAAGTCTACAATTTCCTCGCTTTTTTGGGACCAAGGAGTTTCATGTAGTATATATTAACACTGCTAAAAGTGTCAAATTATGGAAAATATCATTTACGAATTCGTTGTTTTTCGTGATGTCACGAAAGCCAGCACAATTACATATACCCGCCTATTTAGATAACGGCAGTTTAGCTCCGCCCATTTACACAGTGCTTTTTGAACCAGGCACAACAGAGGCAGCCAATCAAAACAGGTGTCATTTCTTTACATCATTCCTAAAGGCACAATAATATAGACAGCCTACTTCATTTTAAGGGATTGAATTATGACAGTTTTCAGTACATGGAACCACACAAATGTAAGTGGACCCTATGAGAGAAACACAACATGCATGAAAAATGTATAATAACACATTAATTCCCAAATAGCACATAAAATACATCTCAGCTAATTCAAACATGGAGGAGGAACTGCGTCCAGAAATGTCCCCTTATTAATCTAGCGCTCAGATTCGCTGATTTTAAGAGACTCAAACCTACAACGTTCTCATTCATGTTGAAGAGCTTTCGCTTCCACCACCCCCCACCCCCCACCCCCCACGTCACAGCATATCGAGTGGAGCTTTTGTGTTCTTTCGTTTTTCTGTATGAACACAAGTGAAATACACGTTTAGGCATTGTGAATTAACCATGAAGATACAGATTTCTGAAATCAAACGTTAATAATAACTTAGAATGACTGCACGCTCGCTCATTTTCAAATGGAAAAGTCTGGAAACATGATGCAGCAGCAGGTCGTTTCATGGAGTGAAATCTCGCGAGTACAACGCAGCGCCTCGTCAGTTACAGTGCATGAGGTCACAGTGTCGCGATATTTCATAGTCTTCATCGCCGTGGACCTCGCTGCGGGAAGGTGTGCTTCATGGCGGTGGCGGTATTTGTGGTAAATTAAACACGTCCAGCTCTCGTTTTCATGCTTAGTTATCTTTTTTCTGATGCAGAAATATACCGTAGTGGACGCGAGTTTTCAGCGAGTTGTTTTATAGTAGGTTTTGTTTGTACAGCTAAGCTAAGCTAAGCTCCCCGGTTCGTCCCGCTCAGTGGAGAGAACAGGGTTCGGCTCTGGCCTGCTGGAGTCGAGCTTAATCACTGCGTCCGGCTGACGCTGTTGTATTTACGAGTCTCCTCTTCGTTTACATTGATTTGTTCAATTAATTAAAGTGTCTCTTGCTTCCTTGCTAGAACACGTTCATACCCGCACCTAAAAAAAAACCTCCGCGCTGCAGGCAGACGTGGTAGCTGGTCTTGCTAAGTAGCTAACGTTACCTTGCTGGCGTTAGCTGTTAAGTAATTTGCTTCGTGTTGGTCTAATCCCAACCGGTCCGCTGATGGAAGCTGAGTGCACTATTTTAAGGGTATAACATGTTATTTTGTGACCTGTATGGTGCACTATGTAAGTAGTGAGGGAGTCATTTGAGATGCGGCCATTGTCTCTCAGACTTGTCGTGCTACCGGCTAACCGTGCTAGCTTTTCATGCGATGGCGGGCAGCTCCGCCGTCGTGCTGCTTTCATTCAGTGTCTAAACGAGAAGTTGGCGAACCAAACACTGTGTTAACTTGTAGCACGCTAAGTTAACTGATTTCTGACTTTAGCAAGAAGTTAAATTATCGTTTGTGATAATTGCCTTTCTGCCGTCGTCGTGTTGAGTGTATGAAGAATGTAGCCGTTAACTGGCGGGCCACCATCTGATAATCACCGCAAAGGCCAAGTAGCTAACCTAACTAACTAACTAGCTAACTAACTAACATGCCTGTGGAAAGTGATGTAAAGTTTGCAAATTTTATGTACTATCTATTGATTTTCGTCATAATTTGAAGAAGAGGCTCATCCTTTGGGTTTTCAGAGTCGTGAGATGAATATAAAGTATTTATCCGCTCTTTTTGAAATAAATTGTTAGATCAGTCCCGTTAGTGTAATTACTCACTCGGGTAAGCAGAGATTCTGTCCCATTTACAACCGAGTCATGTTCTGCCCGGGCCTTGCCAGTTAAGGTAAAGTAGCAGTTACAGTTATGGACATAAAATAACGAATATCAATTGCAATATCGAATAGGCCGTCAGTGTGTTTATCTCGGATTGAGCAACATTGCTAAAAGACAGTTGGACCGCATTGTTTGATTGGGTGTGTTCTGCATGAGGGTTTTCCAAATTCAGTGCATTTGTCTTTGACTATGTTTTTGCAGTGCTTTGGGTGTACCTTTCAGCCTTGAGTGGGATAATAAGCGGGCCATAACCCACCACATTAGCTTCAACTGTCCTTTCATTTGATCATGTAAGAAAGTAAATGTTGAACAAACTTGAAAGGGTGTGAGTGTGTGTGTATGCGCGAATGCTTTCTTAACTGCAGCCTCTTTTTCTGACTTCCAGACCCTGTCCTGACCTGTAAAAGCTCTGTGAATTTTAGTTCTGGAAGAGAAGGCTGCATCAGGACACCTCAGTGGAGACCAGGCACTAGGTAAGGAGTCCACCCTTCTGTACCATATTAAATTGTACATCAGTAATGAATGCGTTATGAATTCACCTCTATTTTGGACTTGGATCTTTTAGTGTTTAGCAGACTGAGAGCCATACACCCAGTGCTGTTTTATGGAATGGTTCAGCAGGTTACAGGGGTAAATTTAATAGCCTAAACACAGTAGTACTACAATAGCTACACATTTGTCTATCATGTGTAGTTTTAAAAAACAAAAAATAAGAACAGGATGTTCACTTTTGTGATCGTCCAAACATATCTTGCCATCAGACTAGTTGAAATATTTATAATGAATGCTAGTTATAAGCTTGTGCAATGTTAAAGGTCTTTTTGTTTTGTTTTGTTTTGTTTTTTTTGTTTGTTTCTTCTTTTTGCCATACCATTTCCATAATTTCTTGTCTAAACTGAAGGCTGTCTTTTTTAAGACCTTGTAAGGAGCACTCCTAAGAGCTAACTTGAGTTCAGGTTCTATATAGGGAGTAGGAGTGATGACTGTATTGGCATGTCATGTTGGACTTCATGATGTCCTAAATGTTAGAGAGGCTTTCCCTGAATTTGGATGTCAGTGTTCTCAAATTGTTGTCTCCCTCTCCAGTATCTCTTGTTCTAAGTAGGTTTGTGTTTTCTTTTCCTTTTTTTTCTTTTTGTCGTTTCTCTCTGTGTCGTCTGTGCTGTAGAGCGTATCTCTTGACTGTACTATATTTCCAAAGCCAATGGCAGAACCATTTGGGTTCAAACCTCCTTAAGGGGGGGCACTGCACCACTCTGGAGTTCATTTGAGCAAAGGTACTTAAGTTTTCTTCTGTGTAGTACTGAGTAAGGGGCTCACCTCACCAAGCTTACTGTAGTATTCCTACTCTAAGGAACAGTGGTTAGCATCCCTCTCTCATCGCCGATTTGCAGTATTTTTTCCTCTGCTGATATGGGGAAATTGTACCATGTTATACTATGACTGCGGGGTTTGCCTTTTCTTAATGTTGACTGTTTGTGAAGTGTAGGCTGAATCCTAAAAAACTGCTGTGTGTTGCAGTTTTCGGTTACCAAACAGTCAATGCACATGTAAACAACTGTAGCTTTTCAGTTTAATGTCTATATGTGGTTAGACTGCAGTCATGTAAACCACATCTTGGAATTTAGTGTGGTGAGCAGTTTCAGAGCATGCGCAACAATGCATCAATGTCTGAAATAAATATATAAAATTATGATTAGTATATATCAGAGTATGAAAAATCTTATCCTTACCAGCACTTCAGCTATCATGCAGTTGTAATTTTTTCAGACATAAAACTGTTTGCTCTGAAACTAGGGAATGTTAAAATTCAGTGTTCTGTAGCTTGTTTTGTAGTTGAAACATTTTATGTTCAAGCTCTGCTTGGCCCCTCACACATGTGCTCTCCGCAGGGAGGCGAGGCTCTGACGATGGAGAATGGACAGAGCACAGCCTCGAAGCTTGGCCTACCGCCCCTCACTCCAGAACAGCAGGAGGCGCTGCAGAAGGTAACCTAAATGCTGATTCTTACGTATCTATAATCATTTATGTGTGCCGTGGCTGTGGATATGCTTCTGTTGTTTCAGAACATTCGGGTGGATTTGATGAATTGGTTTGACCATATTTGTCCTCCATTCATTTGCGTATGTATGCTTGTGCGGTGCATATGTATGTGAATAGTGGAGAAGAGAAAAGCCAGTGCTATGCCTTCGGTGCTAGTGGGTGATCTGTCTCCTAGTACTATTCTCAATCACTGGCACATGCCCAGTGCTTACCAATCCCTGTCCTGGAGATTTGTCTTCCTTTAAACCTTAGTCCCAACCCTCATCAGCCACATCTGCTCCACAGTGTATATTCAGGTGCTAGATAAGATGAGTGTTGAGTTTTGGGTTAGAGCTGAATTTGGGTAGAAAACTGGATTCCCAGGACGGAAGGTTTGTGATCACTGATTTAGCCTTTAAAAATAAATAAAATTCAGTATACAGTGTCCTTGCTTAGATGTTGCATATTGTGAGTTTTTCAAATGAGATGGCTCATGCTTAGAGGGAGATGATTTTAGTTCTTACTTTTTTGGACTGGATTTCTTGTTTGCATTACAGGCAAAGAAGTATGCCATGGAGCAAAGTATCAAGAGCGTGCTGGTCAAACAGACGCTCGCTCATCAGCAGCAACAGCAACTTAATAACCTCCAGGTAAATTTCACATTCGAGCAGTATTTGTCTAGTTCATGATGGGTATGTGTGCGCATGTTAGAGATGTTGCTCTACATTTGCAGCTTGAAAACACTGAGGATCACTCCTCAGATTTATATATTAAAGTATAACAAATGCTGGAACAGCTGAGAAATGCATCCTTAAAATCAAATGGTTCCAGAATAAGCTATTTCAATGATTGCCATTCTGTTGTTCTGTTCAACCAGCTCCCTAATTCCCTACAGATGGCCTCTCTGACCATGGCAGGTTTTGGAGATCCTCTTTCACCTTTACAGTCGGTAAGCACTGTCAAAAATGATTTGTGTCTATAAACAGATGTTTTGGTAATAATGCAGGAACATGGTCTCCCTCCATTTCTTGGCATACATGTAGTTCTTCAGTTCTCATGTGTGTAATGTTCAGAGGTAAAGTAGAGCCGGTGCAATGTCTTCGGTGCCAGTAGATTCGTATGCTGGTTCTATCCTCAGTCACTGGAACACTTTTAGATAGAGGGCATACTTCATTCTCTGTTAGCACATATTATTTTTACAGTGGGAATAGCTTGAGCCCCGAGTTGTTTGTTTCAGGTTGCAGCACAGCGGCAGCGGGCACTGGCCATAATGTGCCGTGTTTACGTAGGCTCAATCTACTATGAGCTTGGAGAAGACACTATTAGACAGGCCTTTGCTCCGTTCGGGCCCATCAAGAGCATCGACATGTCCTGGGATTCAGTTACACTGAAGCACAAGGTCTGAATCTGTTTTATTCAGTCTGTGTATTCATCTCTGTGACTGTTATTAAAAGTCTAACCAGAAGACTCCCTCTCTGTGTCTCTCTGCAGGGTTTTGCATTTGTAGAATATGAGGTGCCAGAGGCAGCGCAGCTGGCTTTAGAACAGATGAACTCAGTCATGCTGGGGGGAAGGAACATTAAAGTAAGTTTGTAATGCGAGTCAGAATGTCTGTGTTGTACTTGCATTGTATATGTGTGGTTATTAAGCATAATTAACTCACTGTAGTTGTTGGCTTATTATAAAGTCTCCGGAGACGTATTTTAACATTTTGTTATTCCGCTTAAGGTGGGACGGCCAAGCAACATTGGTCAGGCTCAACCAATCATAGACCAGCTAGCAGAAGAAGCACGAGCTTTCAACCGAATCTATGTAGCGTCTGTGCACCCAGACCTGTCAGACGAGGACATCAAGAGCGTCTTTGAGGCCTTCGGGAGAATCAAGTCCTGTACGCTGGCACGGGACCCCACGACAGGGAAACACAAGGGCTATGGCTTCATAGGTGAGTGCCAGGCGTCTTTTCTCATTCGGATGAAAATACATGTATGTGACTGAGAGCAGTCAGTCATAGCAGAATGCTGTTCTCTACATATGTCTCACAGGGGATAGAGAAGGGTGGGGGCAGGTTCCTCACATGCTTTCATAGTAAGTTTTTGTTTTTGTTGTTGTCGTTATTTTCTTAGGCTCAGTTGCGGACAATTTGTGCCATAAGTGCCCTCTGGTAATTACACAGTAAATGACACAGTGCTCTGCTAGAAGAATTAAGCTGAACCTTCGCAATGGCCAATTAAGCCTTATGCCACTGTTCCCTCCTTTGTAGAATATGACAAGGCCCAGTCGGCGCAGGACGCAGTTTCATCCATGAACCTCTTTGACCTCGGCGGTCAGTACCTGCGAGTGGGCAAAGCGGTCACGCCTCCCATCCCCCTCCTGACGCCAACCACACCCGGCGGCCTGCCCCCTGCTGCCGCTGTAGCGGCTGCTGCAGCAACAGCCAAAATCACTGCCCAGGTGAGCCCTTTTATACTTTTAACATCTATTGTTAGTCAGGGAGTGTGTGCGTGCGTGTGATCAGCTGCTTCCTTTTGGCACTAGAATCGTTCCATGAGTAAAATAAGGCAGCGTGATGATTTTTTGTCCTCTTTTTTAATGCGCTTAGGCTAGAGCAGAGACATGGTGCTGTATGTGAGGGCTTGCTTTGAGTCAGTTTAGGTATTGACTGGCATGAAGACTCAGTATGACACAGCATTACTTATATGAGACAGAGCTTTTACATGCAGAAAGATAACATAGCGTGTAAACTCCAAAAACAGATGGCATGGAATCTTTCCACTCCGGAGAATCGGACAGAAGAATTCCTCAACTGTCTGGTAAATCCTTCAGGCAATTCTGTTCCAAGCACGCTGGTGCCTTTTTGTTTTGTGTAGATTTATAAGTGTGGGGAGAGGCTTGTCTTCAGGACCTCCCAGTAAAGATGATAATCATTGTGCCATAGTTTGCTAGATAGAGAATGTTAATTGGTCAGTCATATAATTCCTGGATGCTTATTGGGCAGCTGTAGTTCCAGGTGACTCAAGGCTCCAAGTAGCCCTTGCTTTTAAATTGCAAAGGCGACAATTATGCCATTTATGTAACAGGGCAACTTGGCCCTTGAACTGTTGCCTGCACATTTTGTTTGAGTTTGATAAATACAGATTATGCATGTGTTCAGGCCAAATAGATCATTTTAAGTGGATGTATCAGGATCTCCACTTAATCTGTAACTTTCCATTTTAGTCTTTTCATACTGAGTGTGATTTTACATACTTTAACAAGTTAATTGCTTTTGAATTGCTCTGCATTTTCAATCTATTTTATTATGCACTTTTCCTAGGTCTGTGCTACTGCATAGACTGACATGTAGATGTACCTTAATTTCATAATATATGTGAATTAATAGTCAGTAATGATCTGTAATCTGTCCTGTGTTGTCTCATACTTGTCATTCGTATACAAATTATGTAACAGTAACAAAGTGAATGGAAAAGTAACTGTAATGTCATGATGTAATGTTTGAAAAAAACTGAGTAGCTTTTAATCTGAATGATTAGACTGGTTGGTTTTGTCTTGTCATTGATGTTCTCTGTCTCTTGGCTTGGGCCTGGTTGCATTGGAAAATACTTTCAGAAAATGACAGCATTTAAGGCTGTGAATACATTTAGGTAATGTGACCCTGATAGCCATACATTTTAAAAGGTACCAATTTGTGTTGAACACGTGAAATGAAAGTGTGTCTGGAAACATGTTACAGTGCACTGCCAAAGTGTTAGTTTAATTAGGTGTGCAGATTTTGGAGAATTCTGTTGAGCCATAACAGACCAATTTAATTGTTAACTGGCAAGACTGAAATCAGAGATGCAGTCCATCAAAATATAATTTCAGCTAAGCCACGTTCAAAGCCACCGTAAAATAATTGACTTGCGCACACTTATGAGCATTCCTAAATTCACTGTTTTAAACATGTCGTCCTACATAAGAACAACTGTGTTGACCAAAATTTAAGAAGTTGATGATTGGAATATACAATGATGGGCTTTTAAAAGTTGATCAATTCAGCATGTTTTCTTTCAGTTAGATTTTTTGTAATAGTAGCGTTGGTTAAACTGTTCTTTTTCGTTGAATGAGTAATCGGTCAGTACATCCCTGTTTTTAATATCTTAATCCTCAGGTTTTTTTTTCCTCTGCTTAAATTTCATTTTGTCCAAACCTTTGTTTTCTGTACTCAGTTTTACTGGTATAATGTTTAGCTATTGCATAATGTGTTTAAAAACGGAAAGCCCACCGTTTCCAGTGTGTATGTACTAGTCCAGGTCTTAGAACCATTTAACTATGCAGCTATTATTGTGACTAATAGCTGCATTATCCCGGCTACGCAGTTTAGTACAATACTTAGCTAAGCAACATGCTGTCCCACTGATACCTAATGGAAGTTTATAGTTCTGCTAGTGTGAATTATCACTGAAAAATAATTGTTGCAAATCAGTGTTATTTTGCAAGTCTGACATTTTGGCAAATTAAATGGTTAAATGTACTGCTTCACTTGTGACATGCAATAAAGCTGGTAAGACTCAGAGTAAATGAGTGGCCATTTCTGTGTGAAAGTTGGCGAGGCAGAAATCTCCCCAGCCGTTTGTGTGCGTAGCCAAGGAAACGGAACGTTCGTTCCAAAATGGCACAGAGAGAGAGAGAGAGGCATAAATCTGCCTTGCGAGAACTGTGAAAGTGCCAGCATGCACCAAAGGCAATTTCTGTCTAGGGATAGGAGTTATCATTTGAATATACAAATATCTGAATTAATCTTAATAACGGGGTTGGGCAGAATGACTGTTTTGTCATTGCGACCAGTTGTCACCTTAAGCTATTCTGAGAGTATTGAGCATACTGTACACTGACCAACAGAATATTCCCTTACAGAGAGATCATGATTAGTAGGGTTATAACGATGCCCAAAATTTGATTTGATCATTTGTCCTGATTTGTATTTTTGATACTGCTAAAGACGTAGTGCCTGATTATGTACTGTTAATATTTTGCTTACATATGTACTAGGAGTGTAATGATGCACATATTTTCATGTTTGATGAGATTCTGCGGTCAAAATTCAATTTGAATTGGGGTATTTTGTTTTAGGTTTCTTGACTCTGTAGACCTCTAATCATAAGCTCCACAGATTGATTTGGCTCCATTTAAAAGTTCTCAAAGTCCCAGCAGTTTAAGAATGGGGGCATGTATGATATAAGCCCCTCCCATCCCTGCCCATTTTTCTCTAATAGGCTGCACCCAGATGATTAGTATGAGTCTTGGCACTGGATTAGACAAAATGCGAACAAATGTTCGAAATGCACTGTGGGGGGGATGGGAGAGTTTTAAGTTTCACTACAGTTTTGATTTTCTAAATTAATTTCTAAATCATATTTAAATCATTAAACCTTTTTTTAAACCTTTTTAATCAACTTTAGTGTAGTATGTGGCACACCTAGGGTTTTTTTTTTTTGTGAAAAAAGTGATGCATATTGTGTGTCTGTCTTGAAATATCGAAGTGTTTTATTTTTGCCATATTGCAGTATGATTTTTACATTTATTGAGCATGCAGCATAAAGCTGTCAACACGAGTAGCTGCTGATATTGCATCTCAATTTAAGAAAATACTGACCTTAGTGGACAAATACATGCAGGTATTTCATGTAAAAAGATGTCATTTGTACAGATGTATTACTCAGTTTGATACATGGGTAAACTGCTAGTAGTGTTAAGTAACGTAATAAAGTGGAAAATCCATAAAATGCAAAAATAAATCACAAAATTGCACTTACGTACCTGACTGTTTGGTTACGTATGTTTTATTCATAATTTCTCGTTGGGATATTTGAAAACAACAGAGCATTTTAACCACATCAGATTTGCCAAAATGTCAGTGCTATCTGTTTCTCAGTACTGGTGAAATAAATATTTTGCGTGATACTTTATATGCAGCCGGCCCAGGTCTTGTCCTCGTGTGTGTGTCTGTCTGTCTGTCTGTCTGTCTTGTCCTGTCCTTTGTCTTGTTCTGTCTTGTCCGTGTCCCTGTGTGTGCTGGTTAACGGGCGCTGTGCGGGCGGTGTTCCTATATGTCCCACTCTGTTCTTCCAGGAAGCGGTGGCGGGAGCATCCATCCTGGGGGCGATGACAGCAGGTTCCGTGACTTTGCCCCAGCAGCTGGGCGCCCTGCCTCAGGCTGTCATGGCAGCGCAGGCCCCAGGGGTCATCACAGGTAGGCTGGGGTGGGCTGGAGGCATAGATCATACTGCTTTACCTCATGTTTACACAGTAGAACTGGAAATGCACTACTAGCATAGTCACCTAGTTTGCCTCACATCTGGTGTGCTTCGGGTGTGGGTGTGTTTTAAATAGCATGAAGCTAATGCATGTTAAATGTGGTGGGATGTATGTGGAGCCTATCTGTCAGGTGAATGCATAGTAGGAATTAGGGCTGAACGATTTATCATTATTATAACAATCAATTTTAGAGTGTAATTTTCAAATCAGAAGAGCTGAAATTTTAATTATCTTGCTTTATTCAAGGTTGTTTTGAGTTTAAAATGCAGACATTTAACCTCAAAATGCATGGCATTCTGGCACACTACATCCAGTGCCCAAGCCACAAGTCTGAAAAAAGGGATGTACTGGTCTTGTTGTGGGAGGTGGGTTTCTAGAAGATAGTTGCATTTAAATTGCAGTATTGTTCTGAAAAATCTGTTGAGTGTTTTTCTCAAATCATTTAGCCCTAATGGGAATAGAAATTTATTTGAGATGTTGGCTGAATAAATGAATGTCTTCATGCATTCCATTAGTGGTCGAATTTTTTAAACACATTTTAAAAATACTGGTTGTGTTCCCTTAAATGTATTAACCTTTAAACTAGTATTGTAACCCAGGTTTTGAGTATGCACCAACCAGTAATCTCATGAGATGGAGAGAATTGTACTTTCATTTCTCAAATCCCATCAAAATCCTGTTACAGTGTGCCAGGATAGCTTGTGTTTAAACCCTCTCTCTCCTCCAGGTTTCTGTTGTCTCCTACACATTACATAGTTTAACATGGCCTGTCGTGGGACCTGTCCACTAATAGATTCTCTTTTATTTTCTCTTCTCTCCTTGTCTCTCTCTCTTTCTCTTTCTCTTTTTCTCCTTTTCTCTCTCCTCTCTTCCCCTCCCTGTCTTTACTCTCCACAATCGCCCTGACCGTGGCCTCTTAACCCCTCCCCTTTGCTGCACACTGACCAACCAAGTGTGAAGAGGACTGTTTCTAGCCCCTCCCCTCATAAACAAATCTCTCATTCCCATTGGCCAGTGAGTCTCAGATCCTGTGTGTTTTTGTGGAGTTGATCTTGGTAACCTTTCGTCTAAACAGACAGGCATGAGAGGGGGGGCAAAGGACTCTTAAGGGTAGAGGGATGGGTGGAGTTCATCAGTCCATCAAGAGGAAGACTGATCCCCACCTTCTCCACCTCACTTATGTAATTTAACATTTGAACAGGTCCCTCTTGCAATATTTTAAGCACACTCTAACTCACTATCGATGAGCATATTCAGAAGCGAGTAACCAGCACTTATTAAATTTTATGTTCCACATTAGAAGTCACCAGCTACATCTGGTGGCCTGAAAGACTTTAAGAATATGATTTGAAAAAAAAAATATGTGAAGAATCTGATCTGCTTGCGTACAAACTACTTAGAACTTCTTGTACATACCTGGTCAATGTTGTCTAAAAATGACAGTAATAATTTCATTGCTATCACCAGATGTTTTTATGGGAGAAGGGTGTTGTAACTTGGCAGTTCTGTTGGAGCCCCTGTCGCCTGATGAAAAGTATCCCACACATGCACATACTCAGGGTTTTTCCAGGTGTAATGGGGCTTCATGTTGTCCTCTCTGTGGCTAAAATGAGCGTGCTGACCTTTTGTGTCTCTGTGCAGGAGTGACTCCCGCTCGGCCCATGTTGCCCCAGGTGGGCCTGGTAAACCCCGTGCTGGCCTCTCCGCCTGTCATCTCCGCCGCCGTGGCTGCAGCCCAGGAGGCTAAGAAGGAGAAAGAGAAGGAGGAAGAGGAAGCGGCTCAAGACGGTACAGGTCAAGAGATGCTCAGTGAACAGGAGCACATGAGCATCTCAGGCAGCAGCGCCAGACACATGGTCATGCAGAAACTGCTAAGGAAGCAAGAGGTGAGCATGTTAATGGATGCAGGAAACCTTTATAAATGTTTGGTGTTCATACCTACATTACCTTCAACTAGACTATCCATGTCGATAATGACTTGCCTCTGTTTTGAGACGTTTAAGACTACGTTTTGTAAGACAGGTTTGAAAGGACTGGGAAGATGTGAAAATGGCATGTTTTTCATGGATTTGCCTTTTAGACAATAAACAGAACGTTTTTTCTTGGGACATGAGAGAATGTATTGGAGTTTCTTTGACTTGTTGGCTATTAAACCTTATTGTATCATTTAATTTATTTAACTGTGCTTACTGTATCTGTACCTGTCTGTTTTTTTTGGCAGTATTGCGTAGTGGGTCTGACAGGATCTGAAATTGTCAGTCAGATACTGTAGTTCAGCATAATCAAGATGATGAAAATAATATTAAAGCAGAATAAGTGCTTATAGTATTATAGTGTTAATATAGGTTGAGATGCTAGTATTGTGTATATTTTTTTAATGTGCTTTTGCTCTGTCCACAGTCGACGGTTATGGTGCTCAGAAATATGGTTGGTCCTGAGGATATAGATGACGACCTGGAGGGCGAGGTAACGGAAGAATGTGGCAAGTTTGGAGCGGTCAACAGAGTGATTATTTACCAAGAGAAGCAGGGTGAAGAGGAGGATGCTGAGGTCATTGTTAAAATCTTTGTGGAGTTTTCAGCGGCATCTGAGATGAACAAGGCCATTCAGGCTCTTAACAATCGCTGGTTTGGAGGTCGAAAAGTCATTGCCGAGGTGTATGATCAGGAGCGGTTTGACAACAGCGACCTCTCTGCATAGACTGATACATCCCCTCCCTCCGTGACCTTTTCTCTTGCTTCTGTCTCTCTGTCTCACATTTACAGATACAGCTGCTGACCACTATTCCCAGTGGTGCTGGCCTCTTTTTAACTTGTAATTATTTTTTATCAATGTTGATATTAATATTATTAATGATCCCTTTTGGGGACAAAGGCAAGCAAACTCTCATGGATTTTTTTTTTTCACTGTTGCCTACTGTGAAGGACTTGATATCTGGTTATTTGTTTTTGTATTGGTTTTGTTCCTTCCCCTCTCAAGTAGTTTTGATTTGCAACACTTTTTCTTCTGTAATTTAGTCTCCAAAAGATTCATCTTGTTATAAAGCCCTCAGTTTCAAATGCCTGGAACAATAAATTCTTCAAATATGACACTTGATCTGTCTGTACTCCAGCAACTCAGATTAACACTTTTTAAATGGAAATATAAAGAAAGCTCCATCAAAAATTATTCCTTTAAGTTTTAGATCTCCTGTTCCACTTGAAACTTGGAAATTTTCTGTCTGCTGTATCCATACATAATACCCCCAAACACCCCCAACCCAATGAACAAGGGGCGTGAAGACAAGTGGGTGAGACATATTAAATATAATAATTAGTCATGTTGTAAAATTGACACCCCTACAGTGGCAGTACAGCTTCTTATTCATGGTAGAGGAACAGTAACTATACATGGAAATCTTCTGTTTGTGAATAAGCTAGGTAGCCTTATTTTGTACTTTAGAACTGTGTTAAAGCTCTTTTGTAAAATATAGTTTAGATGCAAACACAGTCTTTGAGTGGGTTAATGTGAAAAGAAATGCTCCATAAGAAACATCTCTTACAGTAGTGTGATAGGAACAAGGGATGTGATGGTGGACCTTTTGTGTGTGAGTTTTTTAGGGTATTTTGCTCCAACGACAGTACAAAAATGCGGATTCACAGCTGTTGACAAGATTTCTGTTTTCATTTAATTAAAAAAATTACCTATCTTAGACAGGTACTGTATGTTCATATTGTGCCAGGAATAATAGGTAAGAAGGATATTTAGTTTTGAAGTAAATTAATTACATGTATGATAGTGTTGCTCAACGTTTAGGTATGTCACTTCACCTTAAAATAATGGCTTCCCCACAGAAGTCTGTGACAGCGTTCTAGACAGTTTGGGCTGTTACTTGCAACCTTTTAAACAGGTTATGTGTACTACAGGCTTCATTCTCTGACAAGCTTTTTAAGGGGCATGGGCAACAGTCTTCACATAGTTAAGCTATATGGTTCAAGTCATCTGTGAGTGATTAGTGAGGCTTGCCAAAAGGTAAGGCCAGCCATGGTGCTGAAAATGATTGTAGTTTTACACCGATCGGCCACTTCATTAAGTACTCCTCCTTGTATCTACACTTGTCAATTTTCTCAGGTCCACTTACCGTATAGCGCATTGCACTTTGTAGCTGTACAATCACTGTAGTCTGAACAAGTGGCTTAGATACTTAGACTACAGTCTGCTGGAATTTGACAGTGTCCACTTACTGTGCACACTGTTGGACACTTCTACCTTGCTTGTCCACCTTGTAGATGTAAAGTCAGAGACAGTAGATCATCTGTTGCTGCAGTTTGTGTTGGTCATCATCTAGTCCTTCATCAGTGGTCACAGGATGCTGTGGTGGTGGACTATTCTCAGTCCAGCAGTGACACTGAGGTGTTTAAAATCAAGCTGCGTCTGATCCACTCGCACTAGTGCAACGTCAGTGTTACTGCAGTGCTGAGAATGATCCACCACCCAAATAATACCTGCTCTTTTGTGGTCCTGTGTGGGTCCTGACCACTGAAGAACAGGGTGAAGGAACTAACAAAGTATGCAGAGAAACAGATGTACTACAGTCTGTAATTGTAGACATACAAAGTGCATCTATATGCTAAATGGGCCTGACCATTAGGGGTGCAACGATTATTCGACTTAGTTGACTAAAATCGACGACCAAATTAGTTGCCAACTAATTCAGTGGTCGATTAGTTGGTGGCGTCGTTACACATCTTTCTCGCGCTCACTGAAAAGTTAACAACAGCGCGATGGCTGCCTCAAACAAAATCCTCAAAAGTGCGGGAGCTAAACTGGTTAGTTGTGCTATTTGTATAGCCGACCTTAGCTGGCATGAGAGCACATCCTCCATGTTGGAGCATCTGAAGAGGAAACTCGTCGGTCCCCTGAATGAAAAAGACGCTCGGTAAGATACGCCCCGTCCCAGACCGCATATTAGCACACTATATAGTGTGTAAAAATAGCGCATATACCATCAGAAGTGTACTCATTAGTGTAGTATGTGAAGTGCAGAAGTGTGGTTTGGGACGCGGCGATAGTTGTGCTAGTGAGCTAGTTAGCTAGTGTTTATGTTAGATTCCGTCCTACTTCATGTTGTGAGCTGAGCTGTAAGGGTTTCTATTTCGAAATGCACGTTCTCTGTAATCGGTAATGGAGTTAGAACAGAGAAGCAAGTATTATTAGGCTACATTTATACAGCAGGTAGAAGTGACCCTAATCTGATTTTCTCACCAAATTTTTTTTGTTTGGCTGTTCACATTATCTTTTAAATGTGATCCGTATGCGACATCAGTCTGAACAGATCAGCTCCTAAACCGACCCGCATGCGCCAAAGAACAGTGCCTCACGTGGCGGCTCATCCAGAGGTAAACAGTCATGACGGCCAGCGAACGCCAGTCGCTCCCGGAGCTTTCAGTTTCGTCTTCGTCAGCATCACAGGAGCGAGTATAAAGTTCCGGTGGTTGACAGCTGGACTCATCACCCACAGTGTGTTCGAGTTCTCCGTAAAAGGGCGCGATATTTGGCCGCTTCTTTGGTTCGCGTCCTCGGATTCTTTAAACTGTTCTCTGACGCTGCAGCCTCGGGCTCCTCCGGCCGCGCTCGGCCGGTTCGTTCGAAACCTCTTCGAACACGGAGCGGTTTGGTGAGTCTCTTCTAATGTTTTGGTACAGAAACATCAGACTAAATGTTTATGAGTCTCAGCAGCGCGAAATTATGACGAATGTCGAGTTGGACTGACGTAAAAGTCGCATGAATTCCGATCTGGCTGTTCAGACAGAGTCGCATTGCCGCAGATCGGATACGTATCGGATTTCAGTACCACATATGAAAGCGTCTCAAATCGGAATTGAAAATGTCAGATTCAATGCGTTTTTTGCAGTTCACACTGCCACACAGATACATATCTGTGTCACATTTGAGGAAAAAGATCGGATTTGTGCCACTTTTACCTGCTGTGTAAACGTAGCCTGATTCACAGCGACTCGTTCCAGATGACGTTTACAGTTTTAAACACCGCATTGTTGTCTTCACGTCGAGGCCGCCGGTGCGTTCAGATTCAGCGAAATCAGGAGAGCGTTTACAAACAGGTCTCTGTTCTCCGCGAACGCTGGTCACCACTTGCTAACAGTTAAATGAGGTAGTTCTACACGAACATATAGGGCAGCTGGACGAAGGGTTACCGTTGAAATGCAATGTTTCAAAATCGTTCATTTGACTGTTCATAGAGAACAAGTTCTCCACAAACCTTCTCCACTTTGCCATAGCGCATCGAGGGTATCTGCTCTCAGAGGACAGCGACTCTCACAGAAGCACGGAGAGATGCTGACTTTCCTCCGTTTCACTAAAGATCTGTTATTGTAGAGTTTAGTTTCAGCAGAGTGTAGACAGCAGAATGCACAGAGCACAGACTGCACTGTCTAAATTTAGATTGATCTGTTTTTTTTTGTTGTTTTTTTACTGGATTAAGGGAAAACTGATTTTGTTTTGTTATATTTTATTGCTGCTACTTTGCACAACCTTGGTTTTAAATTTTGACAGGAAAAAGATATTGGAGTTTTATTTATCTTTTGTATTAGCGGGAAAGTTCATAATAACAGTGGATTTTTGAATAAGTTATTAATTTTTATTGTCTTCATTGTTAGTTAGCAAATGCATAAAACAATCTCGAGCGAAATTTAAAAGCCAATAGCTACATAAGAACCATTTGGTAATGTAATGATCTATAATCTGAATAATCGATTATTCGTTTCAGTAATTGATTATTCGACTATCAAATTAGTCATTTAAATTGTTGCAGCCCTACTGACAATGAGGTGTAGAAACAAAGTGTATTTCATGAAGTGGTCAGTTGGCGTATATAATAGTCTTTTGTGTTTTCATGCATGTTTTGAAAACACGGGAAAAACAGAGTGAAAAGTTTAATTTACTTCAGAAAATTTGACAAATTTGTTACTTTAATAGAGCAATGTTTCTTGGAACTCATAAAACATACAATATAACATGATATAAGCTAAAAAAAAGATTATTATTTCTCCTAATATTCTACTACTTAATACTTAAACATACTCTCAACAGAGACTGTGAAGCAGATACCCAAAACACAGGTGCTGTTTGTGTGAAAGAGGCTCATATTTGGGGGGCATCACTTACTTGGCAGTATTTCAATAAAGGTAGTTTAGACCCAAATTACCTTTTGTACTTTGAAATGAACAAAAACAAAACTTGAAAGGCCTGTCAGTCCTTCACCTTTGCTTGCTTAAATAAATACAAATGATTTGGCAGCTGTTGACAGTCTCATAGTAGTGCAGTTACTTTAGAAAGTTTATAATTTTCACATGAATAAAAAAGACTCATTTTAAAATCCTCTCAGAAAGGCTAATTCCCGGACTGGGTTTTTATGTTAAAAATAAGGATAACACAAATATATATACACTTACAGGCCACTTTGTTAGGAACACCGTGCTGGGTAGGACCCCCTTTGCTCTCAGAACAGCCTGAATTCTTTGTGGCATGAATTCAACAAGTTTCTGGAAATATTGCTTAGGAATTCTAGTCCATATTGACATGATTGCGTCACACAATTGCTGCAGATTTGTCCGTTGCACAGTCATGCAGCAACTATCCTGTTCTATCACATCCCAAAGCTGCTCTATTGGATTCAGATCTTGTGCCTGAGGGCACTAAAGTGAAGAATGGGCAAATTATGGACTTAAAGACATGCACATGTTCAGAAATAATACTCAGATAGCTCAGCTGTGGCATCCAGTTGATATTGGGGGCCCAATGTTTGCCAAAAAACATTCCCCACAGCATCACACCACCACCAGCTGCTTAAGCTGTTGACACAAGGCAGGTTCGGTCAACGAATTCATGCTGTTTATGTAAAATTCTGCACCTATGTTTTGCATGTCGCAGCAGAAAATTAGGTTTATCAGTCCGGGTGGCATTTTTCCAACCGTCATCTGTCCAATTTTGGTGACCTGTGCTCACTGTATCCTCACATTTCTGGTCATGGCTGACAGGAGTGGCACCCGATATGGTCTTCAGCTGTTGCAGCCCATTCACCTCAAGGTCTTCTGATTACCACTGACGTAAAGAGCGGTTATTCAAGTTATCGTAGCCAGCTTGAACAAATCTGGCCATTCTCCTCCAACCTGTCTCATCAACAAGGCATTTCCTCCCCCAGAGCTCACTGGATGTTTTTTTGTTTTTCGCATCATTCTATGTAAACTCATTTTCCCCCTTTCTAATTTGATATGAACATGGACTGTTCTTGACCCATGTCTGCATGATTTTATGCATTGCAGTCCTGCCACATGACTGATAATCGCTTGACTGAGCAGATGCACCATTGTTCCTAATAAAGTGGCTGGTACATGTATGTATATATGTATTGTTTTTATCTTTAATTTTTTAGTTGCGAAAATGCACACAAAAATACCACAATAACCTGTGCCTTTGATATTGTCGGTGGTATTTGTTTTGCTCTAAAATCTCCTTTGTTCCCAAGAAATTCTGCGAGACCTCAGGTTGGCCTGGTTTGTGAGCATAATCTGAAAGTGTGTGGTGTATTTTCTGGGCAAATCTGGGCAAAATCATTTTTTTTTGCATTCTGAAGATCATTCTGAACTAAACAATATCTCTGCTTTTTTCCATATGCTTTATAGCATAGTTAGCTAATTAACACCTAATGTTAATACACATGCAAGGTTGCAAAGCACTACACACTGCCACCATTTTGGATGCAATCCTGCAGAAGTCCGCAAAGAAACTGTTCAAACAATAAAGATCGGAAACTCACCAGCCATCTTTTGAAAGAATACTTTCCCAAAAGAAAATTACGCTTTTGGAATAGTCTGTTTTAAAATAAATGTCACTTGGTTTGACATTTTGGCCAATTTTTAAGCATGACACAAATGTACAAATACTTTTTGGAACAACTGTATATGAACAAAAGTGTGTAGACACCCCTTCTAATTAATGAGTTTCAGAAACACCCATTTCTAACAGGTACATAATACATATAAAGCATACATCCATGCAATGCCACAGACAAACACTGGCAGTAGAAGGGTTGCAATGAAGAGCTTAGCGACCAACAAATCAGTTTGTCCAATTTCTGCCCTGCTAGAGCTATCCCAGTCGACTGTAAGTGACAACTAAAAGTAACAATGCCTTAGCCATGAAGGCCACATAAACTCACAGAATGGGACCCCTGAGTGCTGTAGTGCGTAGAGCTAAAAATTGTCTGTCTCTAGTTGTAACACTGAGGCCCAGTCCCATTTCTTATTTTTACCCCTTCCCCTTGTTTTTGAGTGTTACTTTGCCCCTTGGAACTGAGTTACAAGGGGTAGTAGTTGAAATCTTCCCCTACGAAATGTGACCTTCAAATAAATAGTACATTTTTTCATTGGCAGGCCACTAGCATTGCTCTGTCGGCAGCCCTGCCCGTCTGCAGTGATAGCAGAGAAGGGTAAAGTTCAGCAACCTTGCTGCTGGTCTTTAGTTAAATTTAGGGAATTACACGCCTTCAAAGAGGGGGAATGCGACTATTATTTATTATCGCTCACCCCTAATTCTTCTGTGAAATGTAGCTAAAGTCAGCTTTTTGCCAGATTCTCTCTCAGATTTTCCCATTCCACCCTAAACGGTGCAGCAGTACTGACATCTGAGGGGGCCAGAATGGTGGCTGCCACTATTTAAGGTGGAATGGGAAATTTAGCTAGCTACTACAGAGACATCAGTATAATACTAGCGATTTTTATGCTAGTTATGAAGAAAAGGACCATAATACATTGAAATAACATTAAGATAATAGAATGGTTTAATTTTCTAATGGAGAAAATACTCACATTTGTGGGTTTCTTGCGGAGCCATTTTGCCGTTTTTTCTTTTTTTCTCATAACACTGTTTGGACTGTGCCTCTGAAAAAACTGCATTTGAAGGGCCACGTAGCCCTAACACTTCGCTCTACCCCTCTGTCTCAACAAAAATCAGGACGCCCTACCCCTAGAAGTAAACACTCAAAACAGAAGGCAGAGTGGTAGGGGCGAGGGGTGAGATGGGATTGGGCCTTACTGTCGAGTTCCAAAATGCCTCTGGAATAAATGTCTGCACATGATCTGTTTGGAGATTTATGGTTTGGGTTTCCACTGCCTAGCAGCCACACGCAAACCAAAGATCACCATGCGCAATGCCAAGCATTAGCTGGAGTGGAGTAAAACACTCCGCTGTTGGATTCTGGGGAAGTTCTCTGGACTGATGAAACACACTTCACCAAATGGGAGAGAACACTACCTGCAGAATACATAGCAGGTTTAGTGGAGAAGAAGTAATTGTCTGTAGCAGTTTATGATTTGGCCTGGACAGTTGAGAACATCAGGTGAAGGCAATAAAATTCAGGGCCCTCCAAGGAGAATCAGGAAGGTTGGCAAGTGGTGCTTTTTACTTGCAGCTGCCAACTAAAACCAAAAGCGAAGAGAAAAGGAGAGCCCGCCCTCTACTGTGGTTTCATGAGGTTTGCTTTTGTTGTCTGAGTTCAGACATGCGAACACATAACGAGCAAGATGAGTGCTGTGTTGAAGCTGCTGCCGCTGGTGGCAGTGACTCTGCTGGTTTCTGCTCAGGAATGGAAGAACTATGGGGACTTGCCTGATTCATACAGAGTACACGTTGACAAGGCACTGCATGACGCCAATAGAAATTTTGGGGATGCTTATCATGTCGCCTATGACATGCTCTTGTCTACCCCAAGAGTAAGTGTTTCTTCTGTCTGTTATTTTATATAGCTGTTATGATTGTGTAACCTACCGCGACCATAGCTGGACTAAGTGGTTAACGACGATGATGATGATTGTGTAACCTGTAAAGTGGAGCAAAACTTGCAGAATATTTATGGTTAATTTTAAATACCTGCATATTTCAGGTTTAAGATCAGTTAGCAGTACTTAATAATCAGCCACAATCCCAATATGAACATTGTGCAAAAAATCATAATTTCAGTGACTGATTACTTAAAACTAGCTCAGAATTGGAATCTTTATTCAACAAGTACAAGATATGTACACCAATAAAAGTCTAAAAACAACAAACTTTGTATTTATTTGTTGATTTGAACATACTGGGACAAATAAAACAAATAAAATGTTCAGCAAATAAGCAGTATTGTGCATTAAAATGTGCAGAAGTGAAGAAATCAAAAAAACGTACAATTTGGTTTGTTGGTTTATCATTTGACATTTCATGTTTACTGTTATGTCTTTATTGTACTGTTTTATTTGGACACTTTGCTTTTTTACAGATTACAGGTAGTGTCTTCTATGTAAATGTGCGTCTGATGGTCACAACATGCAGGAAGGATGAACAGAAAGGTTTTGGACATCGAGATGAATGTGTTACACGAAAATCTAAAACGGTGTGTATGATATCTTTACTGGCTGAATGCAAAGTCAAATGATCATGTACTAAACATTGACTAGCCAAGGTCCATTTTCTTCTACTTATTAATCAGTGTGTAAACAGACTGTGTTTCTGAATATGTGAGGGAAAAATTACAAGCAATAAATCTCATACTAACACACACTTTCTCATTTTTTTTTATAAAGCCCTGGATTGACTGTGTTGTGTGTAAGCCAAAAAATGGTGAAGAACTGATTGACTGTGCAAGACAAAAGGATGTCAAGGACGTAAGTTCTGAATTTATCCATGCACAGAAATATTCTCACCTCTACGTCCTGCTTCTCATGAAGAAGCTGCAGTAGAGGCAGGGACACATCAATTACCAAACTAAACATAAAACCCATTGTTGTGTCAGATATGCTCCTGAAGATTAAACATTTTTAAAATGTGTCTGCCTGTTATTATTTCAGAGAAAGAAAATTCGAAACAGGGTGCTCAGATTACCGCCCTGGTACTGGAAGTCTTTTAGGACAATACTGAGCAGCAGACTGGACGTCTCGGAAGTGACTGACTTTGAGGCCCTGATACTGCACATGTTAACCTGGAAGCACAAATTCTTAAAATCTTGTTTTCAAGATATTTAATGCAATAAAAATAATCACCATTAAAGCGATAGTTTCTCATAAAAAAGTGTTTGTCACATTTATGTTTTTTTCTGAAATTCATTATTAGTTGCATTACCTCAGTTTATAAATAATATTGTGTGATTAATATTTGAGGTGTGAAAAAAAGGGCCAAAGACAAGCATTGCAATATTACAACAGCTCATATCATAGTGATGCAATGTGAATAGATCTCACTACATCTTACAGCTACAGCTGGCTGTAATTATCATATATGAATGGTCAAGATTTAAAGCTGACAGGCTCCAGACCCATCCATTCAACAGCTTAGGTACTTCGCTCTGACCATACACTGACAAGCCTTTTCACTCATGTAAGGTTAATGTGGATTAGAATGAAAAAACCTAAAAACATGACATCATCTGTAAACACTACACTGCCTAGTTTAGAGGTTTCTTTTAGGTGTACAGCCCACATGTGAGTGTGAATATTACTATAGAATTTGGGACTTTGCTTTGGAGGTTACTTTGAGAATATAACCTTTTTTTAAATAAAATAGTTTGTCATAGTATGTAAACGTACCAGTCACTCCCCAGTCCATACAGTCCATATATGAAACTGCAAAATGGCCAGTTTTGAATTCATTGTTTTCAGTGACATCACATAAAGCTAATGCATTTACACACACCCCTATTCAGCCTATAGCAGTGTAGACCCACCCATTCACATTGAAGTTATAAAGTTTCTTTCAGGCTGAGCTGCTTTTGGATAAGACACATATACATAGCAGCCAGTCAGAACAGATATCGTTTTACATTTATCAGTCTTAAAGAAACAGGGACAAAAACAGCCTGTTAAATCTAAGGAACACAGAGAGGTTAAAAAATGTAAAAAATTGTAGTACTGGGGAGTGCCAGTCAAGACAGCAACAAGACAAAACCTTGCTACAATCTTGGTTACTATAACCCAGTTCCTGAGAGGTCTACATATCAGAGCAAAGAGCTCAATGTGACTCGCAAACAAAAGAGAGCCCCCTCATTGCCCCACACATACTTCACAGATGTTTATGATGGCAGACACAGTATCATCTCAGGAAACACCCAGAGAAGCCACTCAGGTATCTGCAAGAAGCATTCTCTCTGACCTACAGCAACCTGGTTCTACCATGGTCACTAGCATTCTAGTCACTACACCTGGTTTTAAACATGAGAAGAGTGACTCATGGGTACCTCTGGATTCATTTGCATAGTCCACCAGCCCTTTTTTGCTAACAACAGAGGAAAGGTCACTCAGAGCCAGTAGTAGTGTTATGAACAAGGCTGTGGTACACTCTTTAAGCAGCTCTACAGTGCAAGTTGGGATGCAGATCTTGAGAGGAGGTAGCAGTATCTCCATTATTTGAAAGAAAAGTGGAGAAAAGGACAACCCATATCCAGGCCTCTGAAATGTCAGTTCCTTGCCTCCACACTGCAAGTGTATTTTAAATGTATGTTTATTAATTCCAAGTTCTTATGAATGGGAATACTTTTATGCTAATAATCTGCCTCTCTCTGGATAAATATTTTGTTTGTGACTCTCTTGACTTGTCCACTCTGCTACCTTGTAGCCCACCCAGTTACATGAACATTTTTTTCATCATAATTTAATGATATTATCAAACATTACGCATATCCTCACTGTCGGAACAAAACCTCATATCTCCACAAAGGTGGCTTTACAGAAGAACGCCAATACTTTCTTAATTTGTAATGGAAGTTAATGGAACAAGATTTTTTTCCAAGTAATTGTTGACCATTTCATTTGGTCCGTTCATCATGACATCCTGTCAAGGCAAATTGTAACTGAAGTTTTCAAGTTATGCAAAGAAAGAAGAATGACAAGAATAAAGATACAAGGTTTTTTTTTGTTTTGTTGTTTTTTGTTTTTTTCGCAGCAGTGACAACCTGTTTGTGGTACTTTGCCAAGATAGGAACATTTTAAAGACTGAGAACAAATACTGTTGATATGAAAATTCATAGTATCCGCCTGACTGAGGGGAATATCCTACAGCAGTAGCTAGCTATATGATAGAGTGGTCATGTGAGTAAAGGTGGCTTAAGGTTTTTTTTTTTTTTCTGACTGAACTGCTGAATGTATCATCAATGGCTTTCCTTGTTCTCTCCATCTCAGTCAAGTTATGTCACCTTCTGTATTATTCTGTATTATTATTCCCAAAAAGGTGGCACATTTAACAGTGTCGTCCACAATAAAATCAATGAAAAATAATGACCAATGACTAATCAAAAACTGCACAATAAATTCAACAAGGAGCATGCAGATAAAAACAAATCAAATGAAACAAACAGTAAAACAAAGTAAAAGAACTACTGATGGCACGACAGAACAAACAGGATAGAACACATGACTGAATAAGTAATCTTTAAAAGAACTCAAATGCCTGAAAAAATGGGTAGGTTTAAAATCTGACTTAAAGATATCTATTGTGGGGGGATTCCTTTATGAAAAGCAGAAGAGGCTACCGAGTTTAGATGCAGCTACAGAAAAGGCCCAATCACCTTTGAACCTCATCCAAGAGCATGGAATGGCTGAGAGCAGCTGGTTGGAAAAAACGTAGGGCTTATGAAGTGGACTGGAAGCAGAGGAGGTCAGAGACACTGCTTGGAGTCATGCCATGCAGAGCTTTAAAAATAAATAATAAAACCTTAAATTCAACTCTGTATTTTACTGGTAGCTAGTGCAATGACTCCACGAAAAGGGAGAACATTAACTTTTGCTTTTTAGACCAGCTGTAGGCATGACAAGCTCAACTAGCAGATTCCCAAGCACAGCTCTTGGTAATAATTTATACAAGAGGAAATAGAAACATGAACATCTGTTTCCAGGTCCTTAAAAGCATGTTTCTAAGTTTTGCTGTACTCCTGAGTTAAAAGAAGTTACCTCTCACAACAGTGTTTATTTACTTCTGAAACTTAAGCACGGAATCAAAAAGTAACACCAAGATTTTTTACTTGGTACATTAGACAATAGTGGCCCCAAATCATTAGCTATAGCTCTGGCCAAATCAGGATTTCCAAAAATAATAATGTCTGCTTTGTCTTAGTTTAGTTTAAGGTAGTTCTTGATGTCTCTGAATGTCTCTCAGACAATGAGGCTCACCTGGTTTGATCGGGAGGTAGAGCTGTGTGTCATCTGTGTAACAGTGATAGGGGATTTTGTACTTCTGAAAGATGGACCCAAGGGGGAGCATACATAAAGTGTACAAAATAGGGCCCAAAACAGAGACCTGAGGTATCCCACAAAAAATAGGTGCTGAGAAGAAGGAAAAATTACCCACCTTGAAGAGTACCCTGAATTCCCTCCCCACACTTCAGGTGATCGAACAAACTCAAATCCTGACACTATAGGCAGTTTTATTGTTTTCTGTTAATTAGTTCATTTTTTCTATTTTTAACAGTTCTCTTCACATGAGGTCTTTTGTGTTAAAGCTTAACATTAAATTAATTTGAAACATTTTTATTAACCAAACAGTTTCATTTTACCACTTCGGTCCATATTAGCACAAAGTGTGATATGGGCAGATCAAAGAGTGTGTATCCTTTAAAGGTAGTAGCAAATAATCATATAGACCCTAAAACATTAGTCTTTGTCCATTAAAGGGGAATTCCAACAATTTGTAAACAACATTTCTATATAATTGGATTGTCAAGATACAAAGTGATTCAGAGTCATTTGATGTGAAATGTGCCATTCAGTCAGAATTGCCCCTTAATGTTCCCTCACAAAAAGCTATTGCTTGTGCAGACACATGTGGATTCACTGCTCATTTTGGAGACTAAATAAAACAGCTGTATTTGTGTTGTAGACATCATGAGCCCTGGTTTCTATCACCACCACTGTGAATCAGAGAGAATTCAGAGTCAGTCAGTCTCTACAATGAGAAATTTCACATTAAACCACTCTAAATAATGTTTTGTCTCCAGAGAAACATTATCACATAAACCCACCCTTATGAAAAAGATTTATAGTAATACTACATGAATCTGTATAGTATTTATATAAGAATCTTACAGTAAACTTGACAATTATTGTAGTTTATTACAGGATATTGCACAAGTAAATATTATAGATTGTTATTGTAATCCAGCTGTTTAGAAATGTTATAGTTTCTTATTGTATTACTGCAGTTCTTTTTTGTAAGTGTATTAACATAAGGTGCATTTATCATAAAGCTGAAAGTGTGGGGGGCTTTGATTAGAGTAGCAAAATTGCTTGGGTTGTTTACATTTCCCCTCTGAAAGAGCTTCACAACATTGAAGCTACATGTGAAGAAAACCAATGTTGATGGGAATATATTTCTGACATTCAGGGCATTGCAGAGGGGTTTTCTATTCTTATTTGTTAGCATTTGTAGCAAGTTAAGCAACAAGTTCATTTTTTTAAGAAGCATGTCCCAAGACAGGGCCTCATTCACCAACCGCTCTTAAGAAGAAATTTATTCTTAAAACCACTTATACAGTTTTCACAAAGATTCTGACATTCACCAATGTCATTTGGAATTTGTACTAAAGTAAGTACAGAATCTGCACACACTCAGGAGCACAAAGGTGCAAACAATTCTGCGGTTTAAGAATATGTCATGAATCTGACATTGACTTTTTCTTAGGACCTTTGCCATGTGGTTCCTGTCACTTGCGACTACAAACTAACTGTGGTGGGAGAGCAGGAGAGCCCCACCTCCCTTCACTGCTGATTCTCAAGTGGTCTGTGTGAACATTAGAGGGGATCAGAAAACATTCAGAGCTCAGTGATCCACACACAACAAGCAAGATTAGTGCTGTGCTGAAGCTGCTGCTGCTGGCGACAGTTACTCTGCTGGTTTCTGCTCAGGAATGGAATAATTATTGGAGTCTGCATGATTCATTAAGAACACACATTGACAAGGCACTGCGGGACGCCAATGGAAAATTTGGGGGTCCTTATCATGTTGCCTATCACAGGCTCTTATCCAGCTCGATAGTAAGTGCTTTTACTGTCTGTTATTTTCTGTAGCGAGACCCCTGAAGCTGC